CAATATCATCCTTAAAATTTTGTTGGGGAGATTCCAAAGTGTGGCCTGATATTATTAACTACGGCAATTCTGTGGAAAAGTCTTAACTTTCTAATTTATTGGTTTTTACTGTCCCTCGAACATTCAGTGTTACATCAACCTCAGTATGCCCTCTCCATTTTTTTTTTCCTACGGAGATTCCATATCCACCTTAAAGTATGTTTTTATTGTGTCATGTACAGTCAAGCACTTCACACTCCCCATCATATCTTTGTGTGCATGTACGTGTGTATAGCTTCCAGCACTATAAATATGTATCAATTGCATTTGTTACAAATAATTAACGTAATCATTTCCTCCTATGAGTCCTTCAGCTTTTCCACCAGATGTCATATCCTACTATACACTTATTATGTGTTTTACTTTATACCCATTTGGTTTATCTGAAATGTTTATACTTCATCCTCTAGGGATGATTTATTCCAAACAAGATGTTTCCCATCTCTTGATGGCTTAGCACACAAAGGTCATTTTAAAAGCTATTCTATTGTCATTTTGCTGAGCTAATCCATTGAAAACATATATGGATTAGTTGAAGTAAAAGCACCCTCAAGTTCAGCTCCTGGTGACTACACAAACACAACCATGTAGCACAAAAGTAGTTCACCATTGCTTTCTTTGGGGATGTTTTTCAACTTCCTACTATCCTAAAGTTTAAGAACTAAGTATCACCCAGAAAAAACCATTCCGACCTGCAACTGTAGGAGACAGTTAAAGGGTCAGAACTCAATGTTTTTATTATAAAATGTTGTATCGGCCCCACCTCCAATATAAATACAGAGCTGTGTGCACTTCAGTGAAATTTGGGCCTTCTCTGTTTCCCTCCCATCCCCTTTGCACCCAGGACAAACACTTGCTTTTCATTTTGAGGATTAGGTAATTCAATCTAGGCTTGGTTTTGATGGAAGAATAAGGAATTGTGGATAATGTGTTATTTGAGAATTGTACTTACTTTATCAAAGAATGTGGAATTGCAGACTGTAAAACTGTCATTTTGTTTCAGTCAATAGCTTCAGCTGACATGGATTCAAATCAACTAGAGGCTTTTTTAACTGCACAAACAAGGAAACCAGGAGGAATCACAACTGATCATGCTACAGTTATTGCAAAATTTTGGAAGAACCAGCGAGCAAAAATTCATGAGAGTCTGATAAATCAAAGCAAGTGGGAAAACAGCTTGAAAAACATAAGCTGGAGAGTAGATTTAAAAACACAGTCAAGACACATTGATCAGATGAACAGCCCTGTGGCAATAGTTGAAATGGAACTTGAGAAAAATGGACAGGTAAGAACATTTTATCTTATTTTTACCAATGTGAATGTTATATATTAGTAACAGTGTTTGCTTATTGAAGACAAAAGAAAACAAAAGAAATTCTGCAGATGTCAGTTAATACTGTTACAAGTCACTATAATGCAGACTTCTTTAAATTTAAATATCCCAAGTTTGGATCATTGGCCATGCTTGTTGGGAGTGATGTTTTCCAACATTTGGGGATGTAAACTTCAGGAAGCCAAGTATATTACAGTCAAGTTATATCTTGTCCCCAAATCAGAGTAACTTAGGTTGTCCAGATGGAAGTTCCTGCATGATCTAAAAACATGTCTTAAAATTGCAAGAACAAAGAGAAAAATTGTAGGCTTTTATTTATTATTTGGTTTAAATTTACTGTTGATATGGTAACTCTTATCAAACTTGTCATTCTCATTCCTACAGAATCCCAAATAGCACAATATTATTTTCCATAATTTATTAAAATATGTTTTACTGCCATTCCTACAGAATGCAGACCCCAAAAAAAGAAATACTTCCTATTAACTTGCAGAAAATACACATTTAAAGCTTTACTGAACTCTCACCAGATAGGCATGATTTCAGATTATATGAACTTTTATTTTTAGTTTGCATAAGGAGGATGTGTTATCTGCATATGCAGTAATTGAGCAGTAGCTGCAGTTAAGTTAGTAGAGAACATTTCAGCACTGAGAGTTACTAAGGTATTGTTTCTTGTGTACCTCTTTATATCTGCAGTTACCATTGTTGCAAGCATGTGTTTGTATACTCCATGTACTGTATTGCAATAAGGTATTATATTTGTCTGTGTTAAAATTTAAAAAAAATCCTTTCCAAGAACAAAAGAAGTTGATACTGATTCAGTTGATACAGTTTAATAAAGTATTCCCAGTCATTCACTTAGCATTGGAAGTTATATACTTGCCAAATTTGTTTGTTTTTATTTTATTTATTTAAAACATTTGTATAGCCCCCCATTTTAAAACAACTCTGGGCACCTTACAACCAATAAAATAGTATACCAAAATAGTATAAAACAGTATAAGATCAACAGCCATAAAACTAAAAACAGAAAATCCTGGTGCCACAGCAACGCTTCTTTGATGCACTCACATACTTGTCCCACCCTGATTTCATCCTATCCCAATGCCTGGGGGAACCTCCAGGTTTTAGGCGGTCTGGAAGGGTAGGGGCCTGTTGGATCTCAAGGGGGCAGATGTTCCATAGGGAAGGGGCTACAACAAAAAAGGCATGCTTCCGAGGACCCACAAGATGGCAGTGTTTAAAGGAAGGGAGCTGGAGTGTGCCCACTCTGTCTGCTCTGTGAAATGGACAGATGTCCTCAGGGAGAGGTGGTCCCACAGATTACCTGGTCCCATGCTATATAGGGCTTTAAAGGTAATACCCAGCACCTTAATTTGCACCCGGAAGAAAACTGGGAACCAGTGCAGCTTGCGCAACAGGGGGTAATATGGGCAAACGTAGGGACACCCAACACTGTATGCCCCTGCATTCTGGACCAGCTGTAATTTCTGGGTGATCTTCAAGGGCAGCCCCATTTAGAACGCATTGCATAATCCATATGGGAAGTGAACAAGATGTGACTGGCCATGAGCAAGGCCTGGTCCAGGGAAGGGCGCAACTGATGCACATGAGGAATCTGTGGGAAAAAACCCTAGCCATGGCTGTTTCCTCCCATCCATGCCCTCACAATCTCCAGGCACTCAGTCACCACCATGACAGCATCACCTGCCCAGCCCAGGTGGAGATGTACTGATGATACCACACCCCATGCCAGCAAATGACCTGACTCAGTGGTTTCATGTAGATGTTAAAGAGGAGAGGAGAGAGACCCGAGCCCTGAGGCAGGGCACACTGCAGGGGCCTAGGGCTCGACCTCTCTGCCCCACCAACACTGACTGAAACCGGCTGCAGAGAAAGGAGGAGAACCACTGCAAAACAGTGCCTCCTGCTCCCAGTCCCTGAAGCTGGCTCAGAAGCATACTATAGCTGATGGTATCGAAAGCTGCTGAGAGATCCAGGACAGTTGCACCACTCCTGGTCTGAGCCATCCAAAGCTCATTTTTAGGGGAAACCTCACACCAACTGGGCTTTGCAGGCAGAACCCCTCCCCCCACCCTTGTCTCTCACATAAGGGCTACAGGAAGGCCCAGCAATACTCAGACCTCTCCTCAACAACCAGTCCCCAGGGTCCTTGTCAGTCAAGGTCTTCGCCAACCAGGTGCCAGCAGCCAAGGCGTCTGGCCAGTCCAACAATCCTGGGGACTTCACAACCATGCATGCCCCAAGCACAGTTGTCTTAATGTCATAATCTTGATATCCCAGTGCTTGAAGAGTGAGCATTTGTTACTTAGTTTTAT